GTAATGAAAAGAGCATATTGAGTCTGACAGTCCAAAACATTAGCTCATTGTTCCTGGTTGTAGCTTAGTTCTCTGCATAAGCTACCACATGATGACTATAAGCTATTTCAGGCCTCACAATAGGCTTTCTACCCTCTGATCTTACTAGGAATGATCTTGCTACTCTGAATGTTGATTGGAAACTCAAGGAAAATGCACAAACTGAATGCCATCAGACTTTTCTCTATAAAGAGTTAATTCTGAACCGTTATACCTTATTGAGGAAACTGATGATTTTTCAAACTCAAAAATCTGTTTACAACTGTCAGCCATTGATGTTATAGGTGACCTATGTGCTATCTTTTATCACCAACGGCCACTATTGTGAGAACATTTGCTGGCGTTTTTTAACCAATGTCTTGATCTGAATCTTGTTTCAGGTGGACAGATGTGAGTATCTGCTGAGTAATGAATGCACACTTGGCTGTCTTCAGATGAAACCAGGACGGTTCGTTATTGATTAGAAGCTGAACAAGCATATTTAATTATTCATTTGTTATGTATGTGAGATTTTCTACACATTATTATGTGCTGTCTTTGGTGTCCGCAGAACATCATGGTTGCATTGTAGGTATCTATTCATCAGTGATTAAACATGAAAACTGCGCAGTGCGTCTCATCTCGGCTCATTACTGTAAGTACCAGCTCATTTAAGTTAAGCAGTTTTTTGCAAGTAATTTTGTTAAAATAGTTTAGAATCAAATAGATGCTTATGATTTCTTGTAATACAATATATATTTTTGTATTTGAGGAATGTCTTGGAATGATGCAAAAGAAATGTAAATATACTGCTTACCATTGTTGTGTGCTACATGCAGTGTTCTCAATAAAGATAATCTTTTACACTACTTTGTGCTATTTTTTGATGCTCCACATGAAAAGAATGAGTGTATGTTTGAAAATTACAAATCTTAATATGAATGCAATCTTTTTTTTAAAGACACTAATAATAATTAAGATAATCAATGGACTTTAGACAGTGCTGTTTCAAAGATTATATTATCTATTTTCTGGTTTGCAGAAAACTATTTTCTTTTATATTTTCCTCATAATTTAGATAAGATCTCCCAGGGATTAACAAATGTTTTACAGGAAACCCAGTGGCTGTCAAATGTACTGCTGGCTTTAATCGCAGTCTTGTAGATCGTGACAGTCGTGAGCATTGTCAATAATAATAATTAAAAAAGAAAAGAAAAAACACACACAACAAAAAACTTTCATCTTATAATCCTCAGGCCAGCATCATGCTATCACATTTTTCCAAAAGTACGAAATCACTAACAGTACAGTATTGCTGGTGAAGTCTGGCATTGACATTAATAGTGTTATTGCGTCCCCTTAACTGTCTTTAAGGCTAGTTTATAGACATAACTTATAGACGTTTTCCAAGACACTAACCCATTTCTTCAAAAACCCTGCTTTCATTAAACAATTTAGTGTGATGAGGAAAAGCTTGCTGCCAAAAACTAAAAAATCAGTGGCCAATGATTTCAAGATTTCAATTGTGTATTGTTATTATTTGTTAAATTGTTGCATTTGTGCATGTCTTGCTCATTCTAGGAAATACTTCGTTTGTCATTACTTGGTTGATGAAACAAAAGAATGGGACATTCCAGAACATGGACTGCCTGTTAATTGATACAACATTCCAGTAACAGTACATCTTTCGTGCCTCTAGAGGGCAACAGCTCACACAGAACCACATTACCAGAGAGAACTACAACATGTGAGCAGTAACGAGATGTCTATCATCACAGGACATGTTCAAATGCATAGATTGATAAATTATATTTCTATTGCATCTTTGGCTCTCATCACAGGATATTTAGCACAGTCATTGTGTACAAAGGCAAACAGTGGTGATAAACAGTGCACTGTAGTATACCCAACAAAATCAGAACCTAAAAATAAAAATGACAAGAATAAAGGATTTGCACTTTAGAGAACGCTCAATATAAATGCTCAGTGTCTGGGCCTCTTGTACAGGTACACATGAACCCACAAACCAACTGACCCAATTCTTGCAAAACTTGGCATCAGAAGAATATTCACTTGTATTCACACAGCGGTTTGTTCCAAAAAATCTCTTGGTTGTTGTCAGCAGTAAATGACATTGTGACTGATTTGGCACCAGTGGAAAAAAAAGAAGTCCATGTCTGGAATATTCTGGCCCCAAATGTCTTCCAGTTGGGGCACCAATGACAAAATCTGTTGATGTCAGCCATTATGGCTTGATGCAGTCCTTTACACAGTACTGAGCTTCATAACAAAAACACATCAACAGACATGAACACGCATTAAAGGCTCAAAAAGGAGGCTCACAGGGTCTTAATAGGCTTATTGCATAGACCCATCCCCATCTGACAAAATACTCTTATTTCACTACTAATATATTTGCCTAAGTGAGTATTATGTGTCCTGTGATACAAATTTACAATCATATCAATGGAAGCATTTGAGTAACTTTCTAATGTAGGAAGATCCAGATTTATCATAAGCTGTAACATAAAAGCTTATGTGGTGACGAAGGCTCCTCATTTTGTTCTCATGCTGATCTGATTGCCATTAAAGATGGCGGTGAGAGAAGTAAGAAGATTTATATAAAACAATTCAATCAACTCCATTCTCAAAACAAAGTAGTTTGCATTGTAGTGTCCTGAAGCATTCATTTATTGGTCTCTGCATTCAAATGAACATTCATTTGCTTGCCACACTGTGGTCCCGCCAAATGTTCAGGTCAGGTCCTCTTCCGATCAGCCCTCAGAGGGTAAACCACATGACAGGGTGGAAAGTAAAATGGCTTTGAGTTTAGTCCTTTATTATACAACACCATTCCTCTGAGGCGCCGGGCAGAAACAGCCCTTACTCCACATCAATTCTTGGTTTAGCGTCTCTAGCCGCTTCTTCCGGGCTTGCCAGCGCCTCGCCAGAGGCTCGAGGAAAAGAGAAACTGATGATAACAGATAACACACACCTGCCAGGTAGAAGGAGCAGTCGTAAGTCTGAGTGTAGTCGTACAGGAAGCCTTTGGGACGAAACGCAATGCGTTAGACGTATATAAAACTGCTGACAGATGGAAAGTTTTCCTTAAATAGTCAATGGAGGTCAATGAAGAAAACATGGAAAAAAGACAGACTTTCTTTACATTCTATTTTTTTTCTGTCCTTGCACGATATACTTGAGAACGGTCAGTAACCTGACACTTAAGATGATGGACTTATGGAGAAATCTTTCTTCACTTTCCAGCCCAGAATCTCCCCACACCTGTTTTCTGACTGGATACGCTTTTAAAACCACGGCTTGTTTTCACTATGCAAGCAGCACCGGGTCATATCCGGAAAGGCCTTGGGTCGGATAGAAAAATCAGTTTTGCTTCCCTGGCTGCTCATTATTTTTTTTGAATTGTGGAAGGGGGCCCTGACAAGATGGTTCATGTTAGCATAACTGTGTTACAGAGTTCAGGGGAAGGTCTATGCTCGTCTTCCTGAGGAGGCCCCTCTTCAAGACTTGCTTTTCCAAGAACTGTACTTCACTGTAGAACTGTTCTATGTGAGGAGATTCTGTATTTGTGTTGATGACTGAGTATTGTTACGAATGGATTCGTGTGTTGCTAGGGAAACGGCATATCACTCGTTCGTGTGCGCGTGCATGGGTCTTCCCCTGTGTTTCTCTGTCTCTCCCTCTTTCGCTCTAATTGATTACAGGTGGAGCTGATTAGGAGGACTGAATTGGTTGGAGACAGGAAGGATTGCCGCAGTACTTAAGCCATCCGGTGGAAGGAATCGTTGGCTCCCCGCTCTCTTGGTGGCTACTGTTGTACCCGCTGTGTGACGTGTGTTGGCGAAAGGATCGCTAATTTAGACATTTGTTGTCAATCATTGAATTATGTAACAGTTTAGTTGTGTTTGATATCTGTTACGTTTGGACGCTTACTTCCTGGACCTTGTTAAGTGGAGCTTGGTAGGGAGGTGGGTGCCTGTTTGTTTTGTTCGTTTTCTCCTGTTTATGTTAGCAGGGAGGTAAGAACTTGTATTTTATTTATCTGATTTCTAGGTTAGTTTGTTTAGTAGTAGTTTTGTTTATTGTAATTTACTTTGGCAAATTGCCCCTCCCGAAGTTTATGATGTTCCTTTGTTTCTTTTGTTAATAAACTGACTTTTATTTGCACTTTAAGTGTTTTGTGGTTGACAAATTTAAAGAATGAGAGCGGGGACCCCAGGGATCTTTCCTAGATGGATCCCTGTTAACTGTTATGGACCAGTTTATTTCTCTTTGAGTAGGGATTTAACT